TGAACTATGAACTGGAACACTTGAACTATGAACTGGTGAACTAGAAGATGTTGTTGGAATGTATGAAGACTCTTCTTTAATCACAATATGTCTATATCTGATAATAACACGGTGCTCAAGTGATAAACATCTGATTAGTCTTGCCTGATTATCATATGAAATCATATTAAGTCCTTTTCTCATTTGAGCGTTTAACTTAACTTTTAACATTGCAATTTTTCTCAGATTCTTTCTAATTGTTCTCATTTTACACATTAATAATTTTCTGTCTTTAATACCAACCAAAATTGACATATCTTTCATATCATTTTCAACTTCTTTGTTTAATGTTCTTTCAATAGCTTCCAACCGTTTCATTTTCTTTTCGATTGTAGAGAGAAGATATTCAAGATGAACCATACGGCACTTACATTGTTTCCCAAAGCAGTGAAGATACTCACATTGTGGTTCACAAACCTATTAAGTTAACATTATTTTCTCATTTAAAAATTTTATTTACCTAAATATCGAAATAAAATATGTCTTTTCATATCAATAAAATATAGATGTAATGATATTATTTTCGGTTAATAAAATTTGATTTGAACAAACTTTTCCACACTGCTCTACAGCAACACTCATCGTTACAATCATTAACAATACAATTAGTTGTAACATTGTTGATTTATTTAATATTATAAATGATTTTCAAGATTGTTTCAATTTTATTCTTTTTTATGATTTTTGCTTTTTTTCTTTTTTAAACCTTTATTTTTGTTTTAAATAACATAAAATCATTTAAAGCATAACACAAGATGTTAATCATCGAAGCTACACTCTAGACATAACAACGATTCTAGGAAATTGTCTGTTGCACTAGCAATTGTATCGAACGTAGTTTTTTTATTTTCTTCTTTTGGTTCTGGTTGTTTATTGTCTTTGTTGATATTAATAATCACTTCAGTGGCTTTAATTTCTTTTGCTGGTTTGACTTCTTTTGTTTGTTCATTATTTTGTTTTAGTTCTTTACTTTGTAATGACTCCGTTTCTGGTTCAACATTTACACTTTTACTTTCCTTTTTAGGTAATGAATTAGAAGATTCTTTGACTATTGATGAAATTCTTGGTTTTTTTTCATTTAAGAGTCTTTGGTGAATAGAAATTACTCGTGGTGTAGTTCTCACAATTGTTTCATTACTCTCTTCTCCTTCTGATGAAACAACGATCTCATCATTTAGTTCTTTATTAGGAGTTATTTTTTTTGTCTCTTCATTTTGTTTCTTTATTACCTTTTCTTCTTCAGCCTCTTGTAATTGTTTTTCTTGTTGTTGAGTTATTTTTTGTTCCTCTTGGTCAATTACTTTGTCTAATTCATCTTTTAATTCCATATCCATTGCGTTTTCATCAATGACTTTTGCATTTCCATTAAATAGAAAACGATTATGATCAAATGAAATAACCCCATCAAAAGTGCCGGTCATTCTGAATGGGGTGTGAACAATAATAGGATTATTTCCATTTTGAATATTTTTCAGGATGAGATGTGATTGTCTGTTCATTTTAATGACTACTTTTTAGTTTTTTTGTTTTTTCATTTAAAAATTTCATATGAACATATCAAAATCATTACAAACCCTTTTTCTTGAGAAAAAAAGAGGTGTTTGTAGATGAAGAATATAACTTGGTAGTGGGTATTTATTTAATTGGCACTTATCTATTGAAATTGCTTTTAATTTATCATGTTTTATTATTTAAGTATTTATTCTTATGAGTTGTATTACTTTTAAATATTTATAGTAAAATATATCTATGAGAGAATCAAATTATTTCATTAGTTAAACAGTAATATCGTTTTATCATTTTCTTCAATCTTATTAAATCTCTTCTTTTCTTTTATCACAAATTGATTTTTAATTAGTTATTTATTATTAAATGGTTTATGTTGCATAATTGTTTTGTTTATTGTTGTTGAATATTTACTTTGATATTCAACATATTTAAGTTTATATTAGCATTACTAGTAGAGTTATTTTATTATTGTGTCAATTCAAAAATAGAAAATAATGTGTGTAATGAAACTTTCTCGTTTATAGACAAAGAATTGATATAATTCATATAGATGAAATGAAGAGAATAAAAATTTTATTAATTTATTCAGCAAATTGTCTTTTCATTTAATAAAGTCATGAACAATTTCCTATTTTTTAAATGAAAAGTTAACTAAATATCCTGAAAAGTTAGGAAATCTCCTATAAGAAGAGAAAATGAAAATAAAAACTGGTTTTTTTGAAAAGAAAAAAGAATGCATTCTCCACCACATAACAATATACATACATTTGATTGGAGTAATGAGAAAGAGGGGAGACATGAGGTTCGAGTTGTTTACAAAGATATGGATGATGATGGAGAACCAACACCTACTTCAACAGCTAAAGCTCAGTTATATGGGGTAGATGGAAATCCTCAAGAATTAGAAGTGCCAATTCCTGTGAATTATTTTAAGCTCTATGGATATTCATGTTGTCCATGTTTTATTCCTCCACCATGTTCACCAGCAAATTCACATAGGTATTGTTTAGCACTCTTTTCAGCAAGTTTTATGTTATCAATTGTTCAAATTATTATGTTAATTGTAGAAATTTCATTAGATGGGTTTGAGAAACCATCAATTAATTGGATGTTAGGGCCAACATCAAAAGCAATGAACACTCTAGGAGCGAAGAATGACTATGAGATTAAATGTAATTACCAATTATGGAGATTAATAACTCCTATTTTTCTTCATGGAGGAATTATTCATTTACTTTGTAATTTAACAATGCAATTAAGACTTGGGATGATTATAGAACGTAGATGGAATTCATTTAGATTTTTGATTGTCTATTTTGTTAGTGGTATTATTGGGAATTGTTTTTCTATTATTTGTCAACCAACAAGTATTGGAGTTGGAGCTTCAGGTTCGTTGCTTGGAATATTTGGAGGATTTGTTGTTGATATTATAATCAACAAAAACAAATTTGAAAACAGGGTATGGTTAAGTCTTATTGGAAGATTAATGATATCAATAATAATTATCTTTGTATTTAGTTTTGCACCTGGAATAGACTATTCAGCACATGTCTTTGGTTTTATGGGAGGAGCAATTTGTGCCTTTGGACTATTTGCACATCAAAACCCTTGGATAACAAAAAAATTGTGGATCAAAATAAGTATATGGATAATTTGCCCACTAATATGTCTTGCAGTGTTATTATTGACATTGTTATTATTATATCTTGGAGTACTCAATGTTGGAAAATGCAATTAATTAATTTTTAAAAAACTTTAAAACAATTCATTTTTGTAAAAACAAAAGAAATAAAGAAAAAAAAAGCAAGTAAGTATATTTACATTACAATCATTTCTGTATGACTTTTCCAAATTAATACACAACATAATAAAATGATTGCAAATCCTATAAGAATTTTCAGAGAGTCTATTATCCATCGATTATGTTCTTCTCGTTTATAATTTTTTCTACGTTTTCTCATCATTGTTTTACGTTTATCTGGTGATTCGAAAAGACTTTTAGAATAAGATTTTTTAGGATGAAATCTCTTTTTTTCTTTACGTTCATATTTTTTGATTAAATCAGAGTGAATTTCTTTTTCTAATTCTTCTAATGTAGAATCATTTTGTGCAGTATATGGTGTAACATAACTAGCACTTGAAGTTTCATTTATTTTTTCTTTTACTTCAGGTTGTAGTTGAAGTTCGTAAGAATTATCTTCTTCTGATTTTGTGCATTTGATTATTTGATTAATGAGTTGATGTGTTAATTTGAAATCATCAATTTCATGTATATTTAATGTATCTGTTGAAGAGTCTTCCATTGTATCATCACAACTAGGTATTGGAGAAGTTAATGGTGTTACATGAAAGATTGGAATTAATAATGGTGTAAAAGAAGGAACATTGAAGGAAATATTATTTGTTTGTGTATAAAAAGATCGTTGATAATAACCAGATAATAAGTCACTAGATGACATGTAGTATTAAGTGAACAGTTAGTTCTTAGTTAAAAATATTTAAAAGTATCGGTTCATTGTTTTTGACTTTTCGTTTTTTCTTCGTATTTATTAATTTTTGTTCTTTCATTTTTTCTTTTTTTTATAACCATACTTATTATTTTTTTTTTTGTATTTCTTTCCATAAATTTGATTTTTGCCGAAAGAAATTTTGTAGAAATGAACTTTTCTATTACAAGAAATAATAATGTTTTTTCATCTAATATTGTTTATCATTTATATTTATAATTTACTTAAAACTTAAAAATTAATAATTCTTTAATAAAAATATTTGTTATTCATTCATACAAATACTAATTATAAATAAGGAATAATGATTTAATTGTATATTTAATTTTCAAAATTTAGAACCAAATGATTATAGTTAATAGAATAACAAGACATAATAAATAAAGTAATTAAAATAAGAAAAAATAACTGCTGATGTTGATTATCATAAACAACAAATAATTATTTAAATTAATTCATAAAAGCAATAAATATAAGACATTTTGTATATTATTTTGTACTTCCATCATATAAATCAAGTAATTTAAATTATTGTTTTCAATTAGATTAGAAAAGAAGTAAGTAATGATGCAAATCAAAATTTTCATATAATCTAATCAGATTGGGTCAATAAGAAGAAGTTAAAAAACACCAAATACAAAAGAAAAGGTAATTTACCCAAAAAATATCAATTCAAAAACAGATAATAAAAATTGTTTTTAAAAAGAAAGAAAAAATATTTTAAAAAAAAGAAAATGAATAAGAAAGAATGAGAAAGAAGTTCAAAAAATGAAGAAAAGTTCAAGTAGTTTAAATAAAATGATATAACTAGAAATACACTAAAAAAAAATAGGACTTTAAATATATTTAAAAAAAAAGAAAAAAGATAAAGGGAAATAAAGTAATAAAATGGGAATTTACAAGGATTTTTAGAAAAGAAGAAAGAAAAATAATGGACGGCGAAAATATTAGTTCAACTCTTCAAGATCAAAAGAAATGAGTATTTAAGGGTTAGGTCAACTTAGAAAAAAACATTACTTGAAGAATGGCTGGAATTCAACTTGCAGATGAAGTCACTAGTGTTTACAATGATTTCAAATTATCTCATAAGTATAGATACATTGTCTTTAAAATGAATGACGGTATGACTGAAGTTGTTGTTGAAAAGACTGCTGAAAAGAATGCAACATATGATGACTTCCTTAAGGATCTTCCAGAAAAGTCAGCTAGATATGCTGTTTATGATCTTGAATATGACACTCCAGAAGGATTAAGACAAAAGATTATCTTCTACTTATGGACTCCAGAAGGATGCAAGATTAGAGAAAAGATGTTATACTCTGCTACTAAAGCTACTATTAAACAAGCTCTTGTTGGACTTTCAGCTGAAATTCAAGCTACTGATGCTGGTGAATTAAATTTGGACGAAGTTATTGCTAAAGTAAAAACTATTTCAAAATAAATTCATTTTAATTCAATTTTTCTTTTAGTTTTTTTATTTTTCTTTTTTTTTAATATTTTTTTTGTTAAATATTTACATAAATCTTAATAAAATTGTTTTTATGAATTTATGTAGAAGAAACATTGTATTTATCTTTTTTTGTGTTATAAATATTTTATTATAATAATTAGAACATCCTATTTATAAAATCATTTTTGTTATATATTACATTATCAATTCTTTTAAGTAGGACATGTTTTTAAAATTTTTGAATTTATTTTTCTGAGATTGAGATTTAGAAATATAATGATTGTTATATAATAAAAATAATAAAATGAAAAGGAAATAAATGAAGAGACATTTTCAAAAGACAAAGAAAAATCAAGAAGAAAGAACCGAAAGAACTTTTTATAATTATTTTTCATGTTTTTGTTCCTCGTATTTCTTTTATGTGAAATAAATGCAATTTCATTTAAAGAATGGATTAGTCTTCATAAAAAAGCATTTAGTCCAATTGAATATTTAAGAAGAAGAGCTGTTTTTATTGAAAACACTAAATATGTTAATGAAATGAACAAACAAAATTTAGGTTTTACTTTATCTAATGAAGGTCCATTTGCTGTTCTTACTCGTGAAGAAAGTGTGGCTATTACACAAGGAATTCATATAGACAAATCTGATCTTGAACAATACAAACCTTTGAAAAGAGAAATAACTGAAGCTATTGACTATCGAAATATTCAAGGAAAAAATTATATGACTCCAGTTAAAGACCAAGGGAATTGTGGATCATGTTATGCTTTTAGTTCTGTTGCACTAATGGAAACTGCTGTTTTATTGTCATATGATGATCTTAGTCCTAGTAATTATTCACTTTCTACGGCAGAAATTGTTTCATGTTGTTATGATCCTAGTGAGTGTAGAGGATGTGAAGGAGGATCTATTGGAGGTGCATTAAAATATGCACAAGATAATGGAATGCAATCCGAGTCAAGTTTTCCTTATAAACCATTTGAACAACATTGTTTACAAAATCAAAAAGTTATGAGAGTTAAAAAATATACTCATAGTGATACTAAAGGAGATGATGAAAAAGTTCGTTCAGAGATATTGTCATACGGACCTGTTGGTTCAGCAATGGATGCATCACGTTCATCATTCCTTTTATATCATGGCGGTATTTATAATGATAAAAGATGTCGTTCTGACAAATCAACAATTGCTGTAGTTATTGTTGGATATGGTATTGATAAGAATAATGGTAAATATTTTATTGTTAGAAATAATTGGGGACCATTTTGGGGAGAACAAGGGTATTTCAGAATTTCATCAGACAATAATTTATGTGGATTATCTAATGATATCTATTATATAGAGTCTATAGAAAGACTTAAATAATTAATTTAAATTTTAGTAATTAAAAACACAAATATTTTTTTTAAAGAAAAAAAAACAAATTAAATTTATTTATTAAATTTCATTTTAATTATTTTCTAAATTAAAACAATTAATAAAAGAATTAAATGAATTACTTCCATTCTATAACATGTAGTGATTGAACTGTAAATGTATCTTCTCCAGAACAATTACCAAAAAGTTGAGTAAAACAAGAAGGTACATTATTATATTCTTGAGAAAAATACTTTGAAATAGAAGAAACACCTTTTTCACTTGCTAATTTAAAACAAGACTCTGCTTCAACAATCATTGTTTCATTAGATGATGCAAATCGAGCAAGAGTATATTCATTGTCTTTTTTAGTAAATTTCATTGGACGAATTCCACAATGATTACGTAAAGTAAATACATAAAATTCATTATCATTCATAACATCAAAATCATTATCTCTTAGAGATATTGGAGAACGTAATTTAGAACTATAACATCCAAATATTGAATCATCTTTTGTTTTTATAATAATACTAACATTTCTATGTCCACTAACTATTTCATTAAATGTTTTTGGTGTTGGAATTGTTCCATTATATAAAATATGTGCTTTTTTACCATTATTCCATTCCATAAGAGTAGTTATAGATGTTGAAGGTAAACCACTTGATTTATCTATTTCTTCTTTTAACTGTTCTGAACGGTTTTCTTTTTCTTCTAATTGAAGATTTGTTGTTATTTGATTTTGAAGTAAATTTATTGTGTTTTTTAATTCAAAATAACTTTCTTGAAATGTGTTAATAAAATCTTTAAGTAATAATATTATTTTATTTGTCGTACATCCAATTGTTTCATTATCTCTTCTATTTTCTAATTTATTTATAAATTCATTTAAATTTTGAATTTGTTGTTGCATTTTCAATGATGTTTTTTAGTTTTAGTTTTTGCTTTTTTTCTTATATTTTATCTTTTTCTTTTCCTTTTTTGACTATGAAAAATCAATTAAACTTCCATTAAAAAAGTTTGTTTGATAGAAAATTAAAAATCATTTAATATTTGTTTAATTCATATAAATAAGTTGGTTATAAAGAGTTAAAAACAAATATAATTCCATTAAGAAATTAACTTAAAATTTATCAAATTTAAATCATGTGAAATTTAATACTTCTTTTTCAAAAAAAAAGAATTAAATTGTTTGATAATAAAAAGAATGTTATTATTGTGCATTAAAATAATCAATAATAATCAATAGAAATAACAGAAAAATGATAATATTCACTTCTTTTTAAAATAATGAAAAAGAAACAAAAAATAGTTAAGAAATTTAATGAAATGAATTAAAACGAAACAACTCAGAACAAGTTATGAAAACTTAAAACGTCTCAAATGAATTAAGTTTTTTAATTTTAATTTAAAATTATTAAAAAACTATAATAAAAAAGATATTTTCTTTACGACTAACTAATAGAAACAAACTTAGAAATATTTTATTTATCATTTGAAAGAATCATGTATGGTTATCCTGTAGGTGGTATGAATTTAAGTGGATATCCTATGAATGGAATGTGTTCAATCCAACCAATGGGTTCTGTACAAGTAGGAGTTCCTGTTATTACAAATACTCCTGGAATGGTTACATCAGTACCAGTATCAGCACTTTGTCTTTGGAATTTAGTTCCATCATCTAATTCATGGATGAACAGTCGTGTTCAATGTCAAATTATGTTAGATCCAATGTTAAGAAATAATTGGTGGTGGAATTTAGTTCAGTCTGTTAGTGTTACACAATTTAATTCTGTTTATATGTGGTTTTTAAGTGTTGACACTGATCGGTCTGGAACAATTGAAATAAATGAATTGATGATGGCACAATTCCCAGGTGGAATTACTTTAACTCCACAAACTGCATTAAGATTAATGAGAATATTTGATGTTGATTTGAATGGTAGAATTTCATTCTATGAATATATGGGAATGCATAAATTTTTAGAAATATGTTATAACGTTTTTATTCAATGTGACACAAATAGGTCTGGAACTATGGAACCTCATGAAATTATTCCAGCACTAAGAATTCTTGGTTTCTTTGTTAATCAAAGAACTGCCATTATATTACATCGTCTTTTTGCTCATGGTAGTACAATTTGTGATCTAAATTGTTGGATTGCTTTATGTGCTTTTGCTGCTCAAACAAGAACAGCATATCAGTTGATTATAATGAATCCATATTATGGAATTATTCAACCATTTAATCCAATAGAATTTGGTAAATTTTTAGACGTTATAACATCATTATTAGAATAATCTAAATGGTTTTTTATTTCTTTTTGTTTTTAATAAAAAATAATATTTGGTTTTTAAATGTATTAATGACTTTATATTAAATTTGATTAAAGAAATTCCATTTTATATTAACAAATCATTTTTCACTAAACTATCTTCATTTTTTTATTGAACCTATAAGTTTATTTGTTTTATTTAAATCGTATTACATTTAATTTTAAATTCATCATTTCTTATTACTTAATTTATCATTTATAACTTTTAATATAATCTACAAAAGTATTTGTTTTTGTTTGTTATAAAGTAGTAGAATAATCAAAATTCAATACAATCTTAAGTGAGTTATTCTAACTCCTTTGTACATATTTAAAGTATTTATTTGTTAATAATCATATAGTTTAATCATTTTATTCTTATATAATATCTTTTTGTATCATTAATAATACTTATATAACTCTCATAATTAGTATAGACAGATATTATTCTTGATATTTTAATATTGTATTTTTTTCCAGTTTTTTAACAAATGAATTAACATAATTATTTTATTGAATAAATAAGCTTTCAATAATTTTTATCTTTTCAAAATATTTTAACAAATAATTATTCATTATTTTCTTATCAATTAATGTATATATTGAATTAATTTCATATCCATCTTAAGGAAATTGATAGATTTATGATTGTTTAATTTTTTGTTTAATGTTCATTTTTATTTCTTTGTTTGAATAAGTTGAAACATTATTAATTCGTAATGATATTCAATTAATAAGTAAAATTTCATAACTTAATTTTTCAATCATTTTAATAATTATAATAATATTTAAAAATAAGGATATTATTTTTTATTATTTTTCTCATTAAGTTTATTCTCTTTATACATCTTTTGTATTTGAATTTAGTTAAAAAAAATAACATCAAAATAATTCAATTATAAAACATATAATATAATTATATAAATAGAAATGAACGAATTAAAAATAGAAATGAAACAATCCAATCTGAATAAAAAAAAACGAAAAAAAAGGAGAAATAAACTAATAAATAGTAGTAAAATCTTATAATACTTATAGTTTTGACAAAAAAACATTATTATTTGTGTTATTAGAGACAAAATAACCAATCAAAAATATTCCAAAAAAATGAATTGAAATATTAAAAAAAGAAGAATCAAAAAGTTAAATACTTTTATTGATAAATCTTATAGTTTCTATTTAGTGTATTTCCTCCTTTTTTTAAATGCAGAAATGTTTATATTTTACTTTAAAATGATAAATAGAATGAAACAATTAAAATATGTTAAAAACCAGAGCCATAACTTGGTGGCATTCCTCCCATTTGATTATATCCTGGATATTGTTGTGTTCCATAGTATGGCATTCCTCCCATTTGATTATATCCTGGCATCTGATCAAATCCTGATGCTCCATTTATTTGTCCATATTGTTGCATTCCCTGTGGCATATTGTACCCTGGATATTGTTGAGACCCAAAATTATTGATTTGGTTGTATTGGTTTGCTTCTGGATTTATTCCATATCCTGGATATTGTTGTTGATTGGCATATCCTCCCATTTGACAATATGGTTGTTGAGGATTACTTCCTGGATATTGTTGCTGTGGATTGTTTTGTTTTCCATTTGCTTGTTGAATATTATATCCTGGATATTGTGGTCCACTTGGTTGTGTTTTTGCTTGTTGTGGGGTGGTTTGTGGTGGAACAGCATTAGTCATTTGTTGTTGAATGTTAGGCGTATTTGGATAAGCATTATATCCTCCACCAACTTGTCCATTCTGTGGTTGTCCACTCTTTCCAGCAGGAGGTAATGGAGATATACCAACACTTGAAGGAGCATTTATTCCTTGTTGTGGAGTTGTAGCAGTTTGTTGTTGGGTGTAAGGGATTGATGAAGTAACAGTTGGTTGAGAATTATGTCCATCAGTTTGTTTGTGTTGTTGTTCATTAGGTTGTTCAATATTATACCCCGGATATTGTTGTTGGATTGGTTGTTGTCTATCTTTTTCTTGAACACCATATCCTGAGTATTGTTGTTGGGTGTTATATTCTTGTTGCTGACATCCTTTTTGTTGTGGTGGAGTGGTGGTTTGTTGTGTAGTGCAAGTGTTTGATGGACCATCAACTCTTTGTTGGTTAGTTGTATTATTAGTTGGTTGTTGCATTGGATTAGTTGGTTGTTGCATTGGATTGGCTGGTTGTTGCATTGGATTGGCTGGGTGTTGCATTGGATTAGTTGGTTGCTGTTGTGGGTTAAAAGTACCAGCTTGTCCATAATATTGATTGTTATTTGGTAAATTTAGAGTTGGTTGTTGAGCGTTGTATGCTGGATATGGTTGAGCTCCTGTAGCTGGAGTAGTTCCAGTACTTACTGGTTGTTGAGAAGTCATTGACTGCTGGATAGGATAACCAGGATATTGTTGGTTTGTTGTATCAACAGGGTATTGAGGTTGATTAGAATTAGTGGTGGTTGGTTGAGTTGAAGACATGAATAAATAAATGAATCTTGAATAAAATAATTAAAATTCGGGATTGGGTTATCTTTTTTTCACTTTTCCAGAAGAAACTTAAAAATCTTCATTGTTAAACTGGAAAAAGTTTTTTATAATACGTGTTTATATTTTTAGGATAAAGAGTGTTATAAATAACAATCATATTAGTAAAAAAGTGGGATGGACTTAAAAAGAAACTTCCAAGGAATTCTGAAAGAAGAAAGGAGAAGAAATAAAAGTTCAATTTTAATAGAAAAAGTTTTTTTATATCAAAAAATTATAAAGAAAAAGAAAGATTGAAATAAGGATTAAAATGGTGACAACTTCAAGCGTAAGTGAAGAGGACAACAATTTATATGAAATAGCAGGATTATTAATAGTTTCAGTCTTTTTGTTTACATTATTGTGTCACATTATTGTAAGACTTGTTCCATGGCTTCACATATTTTCTGAATCGATTGTATCATTATTTATTGGTATTGCAATAGGACTAATTTTGTTAGCATTACATTATGTTGGAATTGATTATTTATTGAATGGAAGTGATTTTGCTCGAATTTTTCAAACCATATTTCTTCCGTTGATTATTTTTAATGCTGGTTTTACAATGAAGAAACGTAATTTCTTTAAGAACATTATTCCTATTTTGTCATATGCTATAGGAGGATGTGTTTTATCTTCATTAATTATAGGATTTGGTATTTATGGTTATACATTTATTGACACAAAAGTAATTAGTTTAGGCTCACATAATTTAACTATGTCTGAGTCTTTACAATTTGGAACATTACTTGGTGCAACTGATCCAGTTGCAACACTTGCATTATTTCTTGAATTAAATGTTGACCCTTATTTATACTCATTAGTATTTGGAGAATCTGTTTTGAATGATGCTGTTTCTATTGTATTATTCCATACATTAGACCAATCTTTAGAGTCATTTGGATGGTTAGATTTATTGAAAATCGTCGGTGAATTTCTTTTTATTTCTTTTGGATCTTGTGTGATAGGTCTTTTTGTATCTTATTTCTCAGCGTTTGTAATGAATAAAATGAAAGTAATGCATTTTTCAGGAACATTCAATTTGTTGTTAATTCTGGGTGTGGCTTTTCTTGGTTATTTTGTCTCAGAGTTATTAGAAATGTCAGGGATTTTAACCATTTTTGTAACGGGAGCTATAATGTCTCATCATCACTGGTATTCAGTTCCAGAGAATCAACGACCTGTGTTGTATGTCTCTGTTGGTACTTTAGCTTTTGTAGGAGAAACACTAACATTTATATCAGTAGGAATTACTATGTTTAATCCATCCAATTTAACAGCTGACTATTGGAATCCGTTATTTATTCCATATGTTCTAGTTCTTTGTTTTGTCTCAAGAGCATTCAATGTATTTCCTATTTCTTTGTTAATGAATTTTAGACCAAAAGCCCCAAAAATTACATGGAGACTTCAAATTATGTTATGGTATGCTGGGCTTAGAGGAGCAATTGCTGTTATTCTAGCACTACAAATGAATAATCCTAATGTCATTAACACAACATATTCTATTGTTCTTTTTACTAATATAGTAATTGGAATGACTACTCCAGGTTTATTGAAATTAATGAAAATTGAAATGGGTGGTAGTGAACCATTAAATGTTCGTCAGATAGAATCAAATGAAACAGTAGATATAAATGAAGCTTCAAGTAATAAGAAGAAGGCAATGAGAAAGATGTTTGTAATGTTAGATGAACTATTTTTGAAGAAATATTTCGGAGGTCAACCAAGAAAAGAGAAAGATTTAGCACAAATTGATCCATTTCTTGTTAATGAAGAACTTGAAACTGATAGAGAAAAAGTTGATAGGAAATTTAGAGAACAACATGTTGTTCAAAAGGAACAAGAGAAATTACAAGGAGATGAAGAAACTTATGAACGTGAAACTACACCATTAATTCATGAAGAAATGAAAGATAATAATACCGATGAAAATCCTACAGGAAGAGTTGATTAAATCATTTTATTTTCATATTTTAATTTATTTGTAAAAATAAATGAAAGGTAAAAATAGTTATATAAATTGTTTACAGTATGGTAGTATTGATAAAATGTTTTTACGCCATCTTAAAAGAAAGTAGAAATTAACAAACAAATATATTTTATTATTATTTTCTAATATTTAATTTACTTCTTTTTCTTTGAAAAAAAAAGGAGTTTAATTCAAAAAAAGGACTAAAAAAACATAACAGGAAACAAATAAGAAAAATTCAATGAAAAGGACAAAATATAATGTAGAAGCAGATGGATATCATATAGAAATACCTTATACATGTTCTGAAGTTAGAAAATTAATTAATGAAGGAAAACATATTGATAAATTTAAATTAAAAAGAGAAAGGATTGAAGCAAGAAGTGCATCATTTGGAAAAGGAGGAGAAAGAACAGCATTTGAAGGGATATTTACAAAAAGTGAAAGAGAAATAGTTTTAAAAAGGTTTAATAAAGAAAGAAAATTTGATGTTTTTATTGAAACGATAGAAAAACAATGTGTTTGTTCAAGTTTAGCTATTGAATTTAATCAACTTCATGTTACAGAAAAACAAATTCAATTTATTCCAACTACATTATTTATTTCAAATTCATTTAAAGGAATTTATGATGAAAAAATATTAAATAAAAAAGAATTAGAACCTTTAATTGAAAATGGAATATTCTTAGTTGAACCTTTACTTCATGGAGAATTTATTAAATTTAATTGTAATAATGGAAATTTATGGTTTGATTCATATCATGCAACTTTACATGCATTTAGTCATTGGAGTTGGTGTATTAGTAATCATCAATTAATTATTGTTGATCTTCAAGGAATTCAAATTGGAAATTGTTTTTATTTAACCGATCCAGCTATTCTTTCAATATCAGAAAAGAAATTTTCAAATTCATCAACTAATTTAGGTGAAGAAGGGATAAGTAGATTTTTTGAAACACATTATTGTAATCAAATATGTGTTGCATTAAATATTAATAATGATCTTTATCCTAAACAAATTCCAGATGAACTTATTTCAACAGAAACACCAGTAAATGAAAAAATGTCATGTGTTTCACAAGAACCATCAACTTCATTAGGAAAATGTGTTGTACTTCATCCATTTAAAGCAGAAGAAATAAATGATTTAAATTTAGAAAAAGATGATATAATAGAAATAACAGCAAAAGAAGGAGATTGGTGGCAAGGAAGATGTAAAGGAAAAGAAGGAATTTTTCCTAAAAATCATGTTCAAGAATTCTTAAAAGTATTTCAATTTGTTTGTTGTTCTGATTATCATGCAAAAAATAAAGATGAAATTGACGTTTCTGTTGGTGATTTAGTTTATCTTCTTGGAAAAAAAGAAGGAAATGTTAGAGTTGGACTAATTGGAAATGAATTTAAATTTGGATTTATTCCATTTGATGTTGTTCAACCAATAAATTGAAAATATAAATTAACTGTAATTTATTTTAGGTTTAATTAAATTAATATAAAAAGAAGTATATTATTGTTATTTTGATTATTTGTTTATTTTGTAACAAATTTTAATGAAAACAATAAGAAGATTTTAGAATAAAATTAAAACTATAATAAAATTATTATAAAAAAACTATTTAATTCAAATTCAAAAAAAAAAAAAAGAACTTAAAAAAAAATTAGAAGAATTTAAAAGAATGCAACAGGAAATTAAATATCCTGATATTTTTGGTCAAACTATACAAGGTCAAAAAGTTATTGATAACTTTGGAAATGGAACATTTAATGAAATTATGAAAAGTTTAGGTGAAAGTTTTAAAATTGAAGATATTGAGAAGTATTGTCTTCGTGTAAAAAAAGGACAACCACCATATTGTTGTTTTGAGTATTTAGATGAAGATTCATATGGAAAAACAAATGTTGGAATAAATGATTTGATTGAAATTGTTTATCATCCTACGATTTGTGCAAAAATTATTAGTGAATTATTAGAACAAAAAACAGGAGAAGAGTTAAAACAAATATTATTTAAAATCAAAATGGTATTAGATGATCCATATGTTGCAAGTGAATTTATTGAACAAGATGGAATTGAAAATATACTTAATATTACAATGAATAATCATGGTAATATTCAAAATTATGCAATGCAATTATTAAGGAAATTAATGGGATATAATAATGGTATGGATAGAATTGTTAAAAATGAAGATTTAGTTGAATTATTATATTCATTGATTGATCCTACTATTCCTACTTCAGTTTCAAAACAAGCAATTGAATTAGTTTTTGTATTATGTGCATTTGATGGATTCTTTTCTTTTATGTGTGCTGCAAAAAATTATGCAAAAACAAATTCAATAAAAATATTTAATAATATTATTAAAATGCTTGAAATTGATGAAATTGATGTTCAATTAAATGCATTAACATTAATTACAACTATGCTTGAAGCTGCTCCATCAGTTGAAAATAAAAATCAAATAATTCGAGACTTAAAAGAACAAGGAATTGATAATATTATTAAAAAAATGTTAACAAAATGTAAAGTTGATGATTTAAAAAAGAAATTAAAAGAAGTAAAAACTATTCTTTCAGTAAAACTTCCAGTTGGTCCTATTGATTATCAAACTTTATATATCGAAGAAAAGAAAAAAACTACTGAAATGGAAGAAAAAATTGCTAAAAATGATCAAATTCTTCATGATACTTTACAAGAACTTGATTTACTTAAAGATGAAAAAAATAAAATGGAAAAAGAATATAAAGAATTAAAAGGAAAATATGATAAAGAAGTTAGTGCTGCTGCAAGTGCTCAAGCTAAACTTGATATTATGGGATCTAAAGGTTCTCAATTTACTAATAATGTTGATCAATTAAAAATTGAATTAAGAAAATATAAAAGAATGTATGATAGTTTAAAACCAAATGAATTAAAATTAGAATATGATTGTGTTGATTTAAAAAGTAAAATTAAAGAATTAATGACTGAAATTACTTCTATAAAAAAGGAAAATGATTCTTTAAAAGAAAATTTGAATTTAAAACAATCTTTACAAAGTACTTCTTCTGATCTTCCTCCTCCACCTCCTACTTTTGATATGTCAACTTTACAAGTACCTTCTAATGATCCTAATTCTTCTTTACCACAACCTCCTTCTATTCCTACTCCTTCACAACAATCTTCATCTTCTCTACCAGCACCTCCCCCTCCTGGAACACAACCTATTCCAGGAGTACCTCCCCCTCCTCCAGGAGTTCCAGGTGCTACAGGAGTACCACCTCCCCCACCTCCTCCTGGAATGCCAGGAGCACCCCCACCACCACCTCCTATGGGTAAAGGTATGCCACCCCCACCTGGACTTGCTCCTGCACAAACTAAATTAAATAAGAAAGTTATTAAACCAGCAGAAAAATTACGACCATTATATTGGAATCGTATTGTTATTGATATGAATAGTGACAAATCAATATGGAGAGAAATTAAAGAAGTAAGAGTAGATGAAAAAGAAATTATTGAAATGTTTAAACAAAAGAAAAACACTACTGCACATATTGGAAATAATGATGAAAATAAAAGTATTGGAGGAAATAATAAAAATAAAAAAGAATATACAAGATTATTAGATGATAAAAGATATAATCAACTTGGTATTATTAAGAGTAGATTACCAAAAGAACCTGTTCTTAATTCAGCAATTAAAGAATTAAATTCTAATATTTTAAATCCAGACTTATTAAAAACAGTTAAAGACTCATTATTAACAAGTGAAGAAATAGCATTATTTGCAGATGCAAATAAAAATGAAATAGATCCAGTAGAATTATTCTTTTATAATATTTCTAGTATTCATGGAGTTAAAGAACGATTAACATCATGGGAATTTATTCAAACATTACCAGAAAAAATTGAAGAATATCCAGAACAACTTAATAAAGTAGAAGCAGGAATTAAAGCATTAAAAGAAAGTTTTGCATATAAAAAATTCCTTGGAATAGTTGTTAGTCTTGGAAATTATTTAAATGGAGGAAATCAAACAAGAGGACAAGCTGATGGATTTAATATTGAATTTCTTTTAAAATTAAAAGATGTTAAAGATAATAATGGAACAAGTAATTTATTAGAATATTCATTAAAACAAATGACTAGAATGGAAGATCTTCCTGAACAATTAGCACCTGTTAAAAGTGCAGCAATTGATTTAAAAGGATTATTAGCAGGAATTAGAAGTGTTAATAAAGAAATGGAAGGAGTTAAAAATATGATTGCTAAAATAGTTGATGCAAATGATAAAGCAATGAAAAACCTTGTTTCTCAATTAAAAACACAAGAAACTAAAGTCACTGAATTATTAAATCGAGCAATTACTTTAGAAGAAAAAACAAAAGAAATTATTATTTGGACAACTGGAAATCCTTCTGATGCAAATAAAATGACTACAGAAGATTTCTTTGGATTATTTAAACAATTCATTTTAACTGTTGAATCTTCTATTAAAAAAATGAAACAACCTACAGAATCTCCTAAAACTTTGAAAGTAGTTAATAAATCAAATATTGGAACTAAAGTTGCTGATGGAGAAGATCCTATGGCTGTTTTAATTGCTAAAATTAAGGCTGGAGGTGTTAAATCACAATTAAAACCAATTAAATAACTTCAATTGATTCAATTATTTTATTGTTTTGTATTAAAATTAAATAAAAAGAACTTTAAAAAATTATAATGTTATTTGTTCTCTTGTTATTGTGTTGTTTTGTTAATGTAAACTCTTATGATCTATTTGATGTATTATCTGATGAAACTCTTTCAGAGCTCTTTAGTCTTGACATAGAAGATATGGAATTCGATTTATCTGAAAGTTTACCAAAAAAAAATCCTGCTCGAGATTATGGAAAAGCTCAACAAGCTTTAAACAATCAAAGAAACATTGCACTTCGTTATATCAAAGAAGGTAGAAATAAAATTAATTCTTTTAAACAAAAAGCAAAAAGTCTTCTTGGTAGTCTTAAACAAAAACAAAAAAAATTCTCATTTTGATAAATGTTTTTGAGATTATTGTTTTATTTTTAAAATATTTTTTTTTATTGTTTTGTTTTATTATTAAATTATTAATGTTAATATTCTTTTAAGCTCTATTTATTCTACTGTATAACACATGAATATCAAGATAATCACATAAAAGTAATGTTCACTCACAAAAAGATTTATGTGACATTATCAATGATATAATTATAAGTAGTTTCAAATAAATAATAGCAATAATCATATTATTACCTTTTATCATAACTATAAACACTATAATCAATTCTTATTTAAACACACTTATAATAAAAATAAAAGTAAGTAGTATAATCATAGTCACCATATCACAAATAGAATGTTTGATTGATACTATTCTGAGAATAACCAAGACAAATGAAAACGATATAAGAATAAAAGATAGTACAAGAAAAGACAAAGAAAGACAAAATGAAAGAAATAAAGAACAAAAACGTAGTTAAAGAAAGGATAAAGAGAAATCAAGAAATTGAAAGAATAGTGAAAGGAAAATTATGAAATAAAAAAGAAGAAAAAAAAAGAAATACACAAAAATTGAAGAAAAGAAGAACGAGAGAAGAAACAATACAAGAACAACAAAACACAATAGAAGAAGAAAAAGATATATGAAATATATGAAAAAGAGAAAGAAGAAACTCATATAACATAGAAAAGAAAACAAATAAATGAGAGATTAGAGAATTAAAGAAATACAAAAGAAAATAAAGAAGAGACAAAAAGAAGAAAGAAGAAACAAACCACCAAAATTTGAAGAAAAAATGATGAAGAGTTATTAATGATATAGAATAAATATAATAAACAACAGAGTGAAAACTAAATAAATAATAGAATAAATCAGAATAAAGATAAACAAAGATTATAGAGAAATTGATCAAAGATGAAAGAAATCACAAAAAGATAAGAGAAATTAGAAGAAAAAGAAAAATGAGTTACACATCAGATTTATTCTATAAATTAAAATAAATAATGATAAAATCATATGATGATAAAATTAATAATAAAAAGCAATTAATTAAGTATTAA